GGCCCAGCCCACCCCACCCCAGCCCAGGCTCTGGGTCCGGGGCAGGGCAGTCACTGAGGAAGGGGCACGGCAGGTGCATGCAGCTGACCTGTCCTCGCCTGCCGAGACCCCCAGCCCTGTCCTGCAGCCAAGCCCCCCCTCCACCAGCCCAGAGGGGCTGCAGGGCGAGACCCAGCGCAGGGGCAGCTGCTGCCCGTCTCATCCCTCCTGCAAGCAGCAGCCAGAGGAGAGAGCTGGGCCGATGCTTCTGGGGCACGTGGCGACTCCCGGGGCCCGGGCAGAGGAGCACGGGGCCACCCCTGCAGCCGCTGCGCTCCCCAGGATCAGGGCGGCCTCCTCGCCCGGCAGTGGCGGGCGCAGGCTGCACGGCTGCAGCGGCACACTGCTGCCCTCTGCTGGGGAGCGCCCTGCCAGCAGCACAGGGCCACCCCCATGCAGCTGCCCGCACACACGCCAGGACATGCACACACAACGCCAGCAAGCTCACAAGTACATGTGCGCAGGGCAGGCACGCCTGCCCAGCAGAGCTGGCGACAGCGACACTTGCATGGAAACACATGATGGACCCGAGACAGACGCGGCCCCACTCCCACGTCCCTCACTGGCCCCGGTCCCCCCAGTCCCCACCCCAGGGTCCCGCTCCGGCACACCTGCTTGATGGGGATGGCGCGCCCGCTGCCGATGCTGTCCGCCTTGCACTCCAGCACCTTCTTGTCCCGCTCCGGGTCGGCGCCCTTTCGAGACTGGAAGAGAAGAGACACAGGTGCATTAGAGGCTGGGCCGGGGTGGAGGGAACATGCCCCCCCCGCCGCTCCGGTGCCGGCACGCACCCCCGGGCAGGGTCTCCCGGGGCTGGGGGAAGCCGTCGTCTTCCCCCTCCCCTCTAAGGGTGCCACGGTGAGCCGGCCCCCACGCCCCGGCCCAGCCCGTCCGCCCGCCCAGGGCACACAGGACGCGGCGACACAGACAGGATGGCATGGGATGCAGGGCAGCACGGATGGAAGCGGGGGGCTCAGGCAGTGAAAGGAACGGACACCGCTACTAATCCAACAGGTTTATTCCGTGAACACACTTGCACCATACAAAGTAGCACAGGTCACTGGGCGGAGAGACCCACCCCTTACAAAAGAGCATGGACAATAAATACCGATCACACGTCTAGAGAGCCAAGAGCAAAACCGGCCGGTCCCCGGCAGCGGTGAGAGCAAACTCCAATAAATACAATATGAACTATACAGTCTGTCGAGCAGAACTCGGTCAAAGTGCATCAGACAGAGGGAAATACCAAGTCATACACGGCATGGAGCACAATCAATACATTCAGGGTCACAACAATGGCAGGGAGGCGGCGCGGGGCCGGCCCCTCCGGCCTCCCACGCCGCCCCGCGGGGTGCGCCCCATGCGCCCGGGGCACCGAGCCGCTGGCTTTGGGGGCCCAGACTGAACAAGGAGGTGAAAAGAGAGGAGAACTAGAGAGACACAGATGGCTGCTCTGCGCGAGGAGGAGGAGGAGAGGAGGAGCAGGAGTCCATGCAGCGGCAGGAAATGCAGGAGGAAGGAGGGGGCCGGAGTGCGAGCAGCAGGCGCTAAGGCAGCAAAGCGTCCCTCGGCCCCTCCAGCTCCGCTCGCGGCCGTCGCCCGGTCCCGGCGGCTCTGCAGGTCTTTCCATCCCGCGAGGGTCGTCGCCCGGCATCCCCAGAGCGCGGAAAGTGCCTAGGCAGCATCCGGCAGGCCCGGAAATGTCCCAGCTTAAAGTGCAGGCGCAGGCCGTCTCCGCGCTTCCTAGACTTTACATTGGGGGGGGCTTAAAAGGCTCCTGCGTGTCTCCGGGAGGGGGGCCCATGCTGGCTGGAGGGCGGGCGAGCCTTTAATCTTAGATCAATCCCAGTGCCCATCCCTTATCCGGCCCTGGAGAGGCAATGAAAAGTGAGAGAATTTGTACAGAGGTGCCGCGTGTAACCACCTGGATCTTCTAATTTGGAAGGAGTTGGAAAGGCCTTTTTGTTGATGAAAAGTTGGAAACAGTGGCACATATCTGCAAATATCGAAAGAATAAAGAGTTTGGCAAGTTAGACTCAGAACCCGGACACGCGGCTGCGGGCGGGCGGGCG